GCGCATGACATTTGTTGCGACTCTGCTGCCTCCCGATGGTCAAAAGCGGAAATAATTCGGTTCTTCTCAACCTACTTGTTACTGACTTCTTCATCACTTCTGTATCGTTTGCCGTTATCACTCCTATCTCTGCTTCTCGAGGAGCGTTTACGCTTATGCTTTGACATATTAAAAAACCGTAAAAGTTTGAAGAAAAATATAAAAAAGCTATGAACCTTAAGGGAAAAAATCTCTATACGTGCGATTCGTTCGTGACAACAAAAAACAATGAGGGATAGCGCGTGGCAGAGAGGCATAGGCGCCCAAAATTGACATCTCTAAAACGTTGTGAATTGTGACGTCAACAAGGACTACTACATGCAATCTCGACGAACGAGGATTGAAATATAATTTTTAGTATACAAAACTTTTTATATATTCGGAAAAAAACTTTTCTCAATGTTGAAAAATGATTAAAATATACATCATAGAGCTTCTACTAGGTAGGAGTATTTACTCAAATTATATATGTTAATGTGTTTGTTCAGTATTTTTTAATCTCGTTCATTTGAAGCTTTAGTTATCAGTCGATGACCAAAGCATGCACTAAATCTTCACCGCTGCTGTTGTTGTGATAGTCAATAATCAGCTTAGCTATCTCAACTACAACTGACCGAAAGACAAGCAGTCCTGCCAAAAATTTTTAGATTCTGTGGAACACAAATACCTTTACAACTTTATGACTACGGCAATCACATAATTAGACGAATGAAATCAAACTTGCTCGAGTCAGAAAAACATTTTGCAATTTATGAATTAACCACACAAAGCACGCTGATTAATCTTTGAATAGAAAAACGACAAAAGTCAAGTTTTTAAGTATTTTTGTAAATTTTGAGAAATGTGAAGTATATAAGAAGATTAAGACTCTTTACACTAGTTCGGGTAACCAATTTCACTGTGCGATCCAGTTGATCAACTGATCAAATATTTATAAAGATCCAGTAATAAATGATACTCATAACGTTTTAATCTTGTAGTGTAAAAATTTAGTGTAATTTTGATCCAATTAGTAGTGTGTTTGGTCACGTGAAAAAATTTCTTATCAATGAGCATCGTCTTAATTAATATAAAAGAGAATTTCATTCCACTTATGTTCGACAACGTATATATTTCAATTGTATCGTGAATAAGAAAAGTATTGAATACCGTACTATTAGATACGTTATTATTTATAAATTTCAATATTACTTTTTTGTAAAATAATGTACTTTTTAACTCTTAGTTACTAACTTTATCATAAAACTTGAATTAAAAAATGTTAGTTTCAAAACTAATCTAAGCTTGTAACTCAATGGATGAAATTCTACCAGTAATTTGTTTTACATAATGTAACTCTAGAATGAAATGATTATCCGAAAGTTGCCTGCAGTTTGAAAAATTAGCAATATTAATTTGTGAACATTCTTTCATTTCTCTCTCTTTCTCTTTCTCTCTCTCTCTCTCTCTCTCTCTCTCTCTTCTTTCCTCCCTCTTCTTTTTCTCTCATTTCACACAAATTTTAGAGTGAGAGCAATATTTAACGAGGAATTACTGGGGTAAGAGTAAGCTGAGCTTTTCCCGCATTACCTCGCTCTCTCGCTGACTCAGTTTCCACCAGTAATCCGGTACTATTCTCACAGCGAGTGAAACGGAACTTGAAACTATCCCGCAAGCTTTAGCTACTGTTATACAGTTAGACTCAGGCTTCTCTCTTTCTCACTTGCACATCTTCTCACGACTTTTCTCTTTACTTTGGAGTTTTCTGTTCTTTCTTCTACTACGTCACTGCTACCGTTGCCAGTATACACATACACAAGAATTTCTTTCTTTCACTTTCTCTATCTTTAATTTTTATTTTTTATTTAAATACATTAAATTATCTATTCAATCTTTTGAGTGTAACAACACTATGCAAAACTAAATCTAGTAAATAACTTTTAATGAATTTAAGATGAAAATAACTTTAAAAGTCATCGTGTTCCAAGTAACATCAATAAATATGACCATCTAAGGAGGGAGGGGGGTGTACACACTATTCAAGTAGATAATATATAAGGTAATGACGTAGAGATAATTTAACTTTTTGCATTTTTAAATGCTTTTTACCAACATTTACGATGACTTTTTACCTTAAAAAAAAGTCATTTTTTTCACTTCAAAATGATGCGAAAGACTCAAAAATCATTTTAAACGAAATATCTCGACGTCATATCCTCATAATTTATGTATTTAAATAGTAGGAAAAATTTGGAAAGTATCAGTCGAATAGATTTCCAGTAACAGTGTCCACCGCAATCGATCTTTTTTTTTCAGTTGTGCGAGAAAATTTGCTGTAGTTAGCTTATTTTTCACTATAATGTATATAATTTAAATTCATTTTACTATGTGTTTAAAAAAAATTATTAAAATGAAGCTCGAAAACCATCGAACAAGACTCTACCCCCCCCCCCCCCCCTTAACGTCATTAAATGTTACCTGAACGCTTTATTTTGATTCTATGATTGAATGCTAACTTATTTTTTAAGTAGTAAGCATGGAATAAATTATCCAGCTTATAATTTTAGATCTCCCTCTTCTATTTTATGAATGTTATTTAAATGAAAATTTAATCGTCAGTAAGTTTAAAATCACTGGTTAATTCATTTCACATGACTGTTTTTTATTCCCCAAGTGTTCGATCTATATCTCGAGTGATGTTTTAGATTTTTTCAATCTTTAAAATTTATCAGTTAAAAATCAGTTAAAAATAAGCAGTGTTCATAAAACGATTTTAATCTTTTCCAGTAAAAAATTTTTTCGTTAAAGACCTTATTTTTTTCCATAAAAAACATGAATCATTTTTTAATTCTAAAATGAAGCATTTAAGGGGAGGCATGCACCAATTCACTCCTCTTTGGCATTTTTGTGATATAAACCACAGTTTAATGTCAATCTTCATTTTCAACACAATATTGATAACTTTCAGCCCTAAAAAATGTGGAAAAAGTTGTAGAATAGGCCTTTGCATCTAAAAATAGCTTTTTTTTTATTTTAGCCTTTCGGCACTGTGCGCAAGGTTCATATCAGAGTTTTTCAGGTGGAGATCCCTGATATGAATCCAAATCTTGAGAAAAGTATCCTTTATGGGCTGAGATTTGTAGAATTTTGATTTAGACCTTCATATCAGTTCTATCATTCAGTATTTGTTCAAAAACATTAATACATTTTTCATGCTACCCCAGCCGAAGTAACCTTTTTCATCCCGGCGGCCGAAACGAAAAAGTGAATTTCTGCTGGGGGATTCATGAAAAATAGTATACGCACCTATGAAGCCAAAAAGAATGCCTCAGAGCACGTGTAATTATCGTTCGAGGCGAAGCCGAGTCCGATAAACATGTTTTTCGCTCCCTAGGCACGTAATATACTATTTTTTATTTCTGGCTTTTTTCCCATCTGTTGGAATACAAACTTTTTTATAACTCTAATCAAAATTCCACAAAACTCAACCCATAAAGAATATTTTTCTGAAGATATTGATTCCTATCAGGGATCCCTACCTGAAAAACTCTGATCTGAACCTTTCGCAGAGTGCCGAAAGGCTAAAATAACAAAAATACGCTATTTTTAGATACAAAGGCCTTGAAAATGTAGATTGACATTAAACTGTCGTTTATATCGCAAAAAAATTGTCTTGAAAAATTCTGAAAAAAAGTTTGCATACGGTTTTAATCGATGAGATCCCATTTTTATATTCACTATGTTGAATTTTGATATTTCAACCAATTGGTCCTTCAAGTCTGCAGAGCATGAACGCAAAAGTAGTCTATAGACTTATGAATAATTTATTTTTTAATTTGCAAACTTCGATCAAAAAATTCATTATAGAAAGAAATTATGTGACAATCCAGGACAGCTGGTCCTCACATCCTGTCCTGTTTGCGTTAATGCAAGAGCTTTTCAACTCGTTAAGACATTATAATATGAGTTTTCAAAATAGAAAACTCCTCATGAATGCTAAATTAAGGGCTCAAAGGGGGCTTAAATAATTATATATTTCTATTTATTGTTTTAAGCTGAAAAAGTGAAAAAAAATTTTTTTTCAGAAAACAGGCATAAGAGCCTTTTTCAATACCCCATTTGAAAGTACTTTGTCCAGTTAAATACTTACAAACACATAAATTAACTTGTATCAGCCTATGACCCCTCAGCGAAGAGCACTGAGGATATCTAAGCTGTTTGTCGTAAGATTCTAAGTGATGGCTTGACACGACTAAGTTCTAGGTCATTTCATTTTCTTTAATGGATCATTATCCATCAACGCAACCTCAAGCTAAGCATAAGATCAACTTTGACTACTTCCACATACAATTTAATAAAATATTTTATTAAAATTTATCAAAAATAATCATTAATAAATAAATAAAATATTTTATTAAAATTTATCAAAAATAATCATTAATGAATAAAATATTTTATTAAATTGTATGTGGAAGTAGTCAAAGTTGATCTTATTCTTAGCTTGAGGTTGCGTTGATGGATAATGATCCATTGAAGAAAATGAAATGACCTAGAACTTAGTCGTGTCAAGCCATCACTTAGAATCTTACGACAAACAGCTTAGATATCCTCAGTGCTATTCGCTGAGGGGTCATAGGCTGATACAAGTTAATTTATATGTTTGTAAGTATTTAACTGGACAAAGTACTTTCAAATGGGGTATTGAAAAAGGCTCTTATGCCTGTTTTCTGAAAAAAATTTTTTTTTCACTTTTTCAGCTTAATACAATAAATAGAAATATATAATTATTTAAGCCCCCTTTGAGCCCTTAATATACTGTGAGCTCCTTTTTTTGGAAAAATTCACATTTATTATAGTAATTTAATTTGCTTTAAAGCAAGCGAATCAAGAAGTGTAATGATAAGTCATTTAGCGAATAATTCAACTGTTTAAGATATTTCTTTTCTGAGATTTCAATAAAATTTCGACTTTTTTTGTTACAGGCTTTGGGTTTGTTACGTTTCAAAGCGAAGATGTTGTAGATAAAGTATGCGAAATTCATTTCCATGAGATTAATAACAAAATGGTAAGCTTGAAATTATTTCAATTAATTTAAAAAAATTATATTTAAAATAATAAATTTCATGTATAAAAATGTGAAATCATGAAAAATAAATAATGTCAATTTTATGTTGAGATTTTTATACAATGCCAACCTCTTCAGACTGATAAGAACATACTTATGAGCACATCTATATGAGAACCGCCCAGAATGAACTCAAAGAAAACTAACTTATGCATTTTATTCAGTAGATTATAACCTTTAAAAATCTCTCAATATGGCATTTAATATGATTTAAATCGTTGTTTGAAGCAATATAAAAGTTTAAACAACCTCAGTTGCATATAATAAATCCTTTTGGGTCGGCGCAACTTATTACTAAATTATGATAATTGGTTAACATTACCGTCAGTTATTATCAAAAACGTTAATTATTGTTATATTGATTGATCTTGAAAAAAATTAGTACATTTTTTCCGATCATAATCAATAATGTCAATTCATAAACTGAAAAAGTCAAGTTCAATTAATATGCGCGTGTAAAAAACAATACGCATTGCAATCAATAATTATAAATGGGTCAAAATGATACTTTTGTACAAAACGCTTACGCACGTATGTCACCGATCTGGACGTACACCAGTGGACTTAGATACTCGGACCTCGAAAATTTGCGATTGAATAAAATTTGCGGTTTTAAAACAACAGCGTGTGACTATAATTTCACGACGTGCATTGCACAGTGAAGGAAGCAGCTAATCGATTGCGAATTTTCGAGGTCCTAGTATCTAAGTCCACTGGTGTACATGATAAAAAAATTCCGTAACCAAACTTTTAGCCCCCCTCCTCCCGCCGTCGCTTCTACTCTCCTCCCCTTTAAACGCCTTTATTGACTCTAAAGCCGATTTGACTTAAGGGGAGCCATACACCAATTCACTCCTCTTTGTCATTTTTTTTATATAAACCACAGTTTAATCTCAATCTACATTTTCAACATAAAATTGACATCTTTGAGCCCTAAAAAATGTGAAAAAAATTGCAGAATAGGCCTTTGCATCTAAAAATAGCTCATTTTTGCTATTTTGGCCTTTCGGCTCTGTGCGCAAGGTTCAGATCAGAGTTTTTGAGGTGGGAGTTCCTGATAGGTCTCAACTTCTTCTGAAAAGTATCCTTTATGGGCTGAGTTTTGTGTAATTTTGATTTTGACCTTCATATCAGTTCTATTATTCAATATATGCCCAAAAACATTGACAACTTTTTTTGTTATCTTGCTTTTTTCACATCTGTTGGCTTACAAACTTTTTTATAACTCAAATCAAAATTACACAAAACTCAGCCCATAAAGGATACTTTTCTGAAGAAGTTGAGACCTATCAGGAACTCCCACCTCAAAAACTCTGATCTGAACCTTGCGCACAGTGCCGAAAGGATAAAATAGCAAAAACGAGCTATTTTTAGATGCAAAGGCCTATTTTGCAATTTTTTTCACATCTTTTAGGGCTCAAAGATGTCAATTTTATGTTGAAAATGTAGATTGACATTAAACTGTGGTTTATATAAAAAAATGACAAAGAGGAGTGAATTAGTGTATGACTCCCCTTAAAATATCTGAGAAAATTCACGAAGGTACCCGTTTGACAATAAAACAACCTTGAATTTTTGCAGATTTTTTGAGTGCTTCTAAACTTCAGATAAAATCATTAAAATTTTTGAAAAATCTATGGACGGCGATATGAGCCGATACTAATCTCGAAAAATGGTTTTTTTGTGCTACCCCAACCTAAAATAACATTTTGCTCCCGCTGAGCAAAACCAAAATGTTACTTTAGGCTGGGGGACTCACAAAAAAGTGTATTTGCACCTATGTAGCGAAAAAAGAAAGTCTCAGAGCACGTAATTATCAGCCTCGGCTTCGCCTCGGCTGATAAATTCTGCGTGCTCTGAGACTTTCCAGTTTTTGACTCCCTAGGTGCAAAATATACTATTTTTTTATCGCATTGAAAACCTAATCTTAAATTTTGTAAGAGTTTTTCGAGTTTCCTAACGCAACTTTGAAAATCACTTTTTCCTACGATACAAAGGCTTAAAAACAGGCACTTAAGCAGACGAGCTGTGTTGAATTATTTTAGCGTGTGCATTATTTTACATAATCTGCGATGTGTGTGTGTGGATGTGTGAGTCAACAGTCAAAGCGTTCGTTAATCTGTATATGGAGCTTGGTCTCGCACAAACATCTACATAGGGTGCGCATTTCTGCTGTCTGCTCGCTGCTTGCTTGGTTGCAGTGGCTGATGTATTATATTGTTTAGTGATCGTATGTTAGACTTGAAAATCAAGTCAGTTCATCAATCGTTCAGTTTGGTGTTTGTTTTGTATTTATTGTATGATTCATGTACGGGACTTTGAAGTCCAAACACGAAGTTGCGAAGGCCCAGTAGCGAGTCATTGCCGCACAAATATGCGGTCACTTTTCTACTATGTCAGGATAAATTTCAGCTTAGCTCAAGAAGATTTGTATTTCTTGAGCCAAGTACAGCCTTTTTCATGATTAGGTATGTTTATTTTTTTCAGAGAACTATAACATACCAAAAATACGTACAGATAGGTGACATACGTGCGCATGGCTTTGAACAAAAGTATTATTTTGACTCTTGTACAATTACCATTTTTGGGGAAGAAATGACCTAATTAATGCATCCCGATTGCAGGTCTTAGGTGCTAGTCAGAAGAGGTTAATGTATAAATGTTGAATATTCTAAGGCATAAATCTAATATGAACCAAACTTTTGTTGGATTACAGGTTGAGTGTAAGAAAGCACAACCGAAAGAAGTGATGTTACCAGCAAATTTGGCGAAGACGCGAGCAGCTGGTCGCGGTGCTTACGGTGAGTTGGTGATGGTCGCTCAACCCCCAAGTTCAACTAATGCGACCACCGCGACATATCGTTATGCGCCTTATCCATTACCAACCAGTGCAGCAGCAGCAGCAGCCCACGCTGCTGCTGCTGCTGTAGCTAACTCGGGTAATCCCCATCACGCTGCTGCTGTTGCCGCCGCGGCTTCACATCCGGCTACAGCAGCGGCTCTCCTCGCCCCGGGCCTCATGAGTACCGTGTCGACGGCTCAGTCTTCTCCTGCCGCTGCAGCTGCGGCAAATTATCAATACGCTGCGGCTGCCGCTGCCGCCGCGGCTGCTGCTACTCCAGCCAATGCCGCTGCAGCCCAAGCTGTTTATGATGTCAAACGAGCCTTGGCCGCTGCAGCGGCTTCTGCAGCTTACAGACCCCATCCAGGTGCAGCAGCAGCAGCGGCGGCGGCAGCTTCTAGAGCAGCTAGTCTTACTTATTCGATGAGTGATTTATTAGGAGTTCAAGCTCTTGATATGGGAACTATGTATCATCCTCTTGGGCACACGATTGGTCTATGACCGACTACAATTTTACCTTTATCGAGACCACAGTAATGAGGAAATAAAATGACTTTATGATTTAGAAAGTAGCCTTAAAAATTGTAATTTATTATTTTTCTATAATATTGAGGAGTATACGATACCATAGTGTCTCTATGCATTAAATATTAATTCACATAAGAATTAGAGGACAAGCATACGGCTTATTTTACACTATTCCTCTAGTTTTTATGGGACGCTTACATTGGATACTGAGAGGATCTGTGGTATATTATACTTCTTAATAATATAATTAGATTTCAGAAGTTTACATATTTCTAAATTATTACTACTTTTTAAGAAAAATTATTAAAGAAAATGCTAACTAGGTGTGTGAGAACTATACTTTTTTATCAATTACTTCTTTTGCAAAGACAAGAAACAAAAAATTGTTCCATAAAATGAAAAAAATTAGACGTATCCAAAAATAAACGCATGACACAGCACGATTTTATAATTTCTCTAAATTAAAATTCGTGATACAATGATTAGTTACATTCTAATTAAAAGACTGTGTAACAAACTCAATTCAAGAACACTGGGGTTGTGAATTCGATTAGTGAAATGGTTATATGTTTATATTTATACTATACAACACAAATTATATTAGTCAACACAAAAACTATCTATGAGTAATTTTTAATGTATAAATTGATGATTGATTACCATTGGGGGCTCAGTTTTGATGAATAATAATAAAGTTTACCAACAGACTGAAATTATTCATAAATGAATCAAAACAATTGTAGTGATATTCACCGGTGTTTACGAAAAAAATTGTTTGTATGGAAGTTTTCTGATGTAAGAACCCTTTTTTTTGTATCTAATCATTACGCGTTTTTCAAAAAAATTTGCAGTTCAAATCGAAAAAGTATTTTTTCATCAAATTTAAAAAAAAGAAAATTTTCTTCGTAAGCACCGGATTACTAATTATCAGGATATAGAATCGCGAGGCAGTGAAAAACAAAAACCATTGTCAATTCATTGGCATTCAGTTTCCACCTGAAAAAGTTGTAAATTTTATAAAATATAAACTCGTGAAAAAATTATGTACAATACTATTTATTCTAAAATACTTGAAAAATTTGATATTTGAAAAAAATATCAAAAAATCTAATTTTTCTTTGTCTATACTTTAATTTATTAAAATATCATCACAACTTATTTTGAAATGAAGCTGAAATGATTTCTTATTAAGTTCATAAAACGAACTTTTTAATAGCTTAATACAAATGTTTAGAGATCATTCAACGATTGTAACTGTAGAATAGTATTTTTTCCAGCTATGGTTTTTTAGCAAAACCATATCTGCACTAGTTGATGATACTATTTTTCCTACGATAACCGCAAAGTTGTGTATTTGAGGTGAGAGTGGGGGAGAAAAAATATCTATAGCACTGCGTGGCTAAAGTTCACCTTCAAGGCACGCTTTGCCGTTAAGCTGCTCACTATTGCACCGCGACGCTATTATGAGCACCTTATATCTAGCCAAAGGGGGCCTAAATGTGAATTTAGCACAGTGCTATAAAAAAACGTAAGATACTTATGACTCAAGTAGCCCATTCTTAACACGGCACTAGCACCCTCGCTTCGCTCGGTTGTTAACCGTGCCGTGCTATAACGGCTTGCTTAAGTGACACGTATCATAATATACTATTATCAAGGTCTATGACTATTTCAGATTACTAAATATTAAAGTATATACGATTTGGAATTTATTTTTACAAATCCCTACTGAAAGCATCAGGAACGAATCAGTGCAGAATCATTACTGATTTCAGACTGAAATTGCAGGTGAATCTTCAATGAAACGGCACCAATTCATTACTGATTCAGCGCTGACCGGTAGTGCAAAATTACAGTACTGATTTTGAGCGGAATCAGTCTTGATTTTGTGTTGATTGTGTACAAAATCGGGGTTGATAAATTGTAAAGTTTTCCCACGGTAATTTGCGAAATATTTCAACGCAAAATCCGCGCAGAATCAGCTATGATTTTGTGTCAATTCCGTACACAATAAGCTCTGATAAATTGTCGAGTTTTAGCCGAGAAAAT